GAATACCTTTGCATGAACTCATGTGTCAGCATATTTCGATGAGCACTCGATATGATATGCTTATGTATGTGAGATATTGTGATTACGAAAAATGGTGACGAATTGAATTCTTGAGATATTGCAGGTTACGGTAAGCATTTTCTTACTATATGTAGTATGTATATTTTGGAAACTATACTTGTTTTATAGCAAGGGGTTATTATGTTTTCGAAAATATTTTTATAAAACTTTATTTTTGGCCCACTCACCCTTGTTTTTCGCCCCTCCAGGTTTTAGTGGCTGAGCTTTCATGTTGATGAGGATTCTTGGCAAACTTGAGCTTTCGTATTGATGAGGATTCTTGGCAAACTTTGGTAAAAGTGATTACCTTCAACTGTATAATTCTTATCCTACCTTTACTATACTTTCCTTATGCTCTGACATCATGTATGAATTGAGTCCATTCCCGCTCACAAGCACACTCTTACATTTAGGCACTTTTAGGTTTAAATTTATTCACATTTTCCACACCACCACATTTTATGGCTTCGTCACCCTCCAGGTGTCTGCCAACACAGCTCGAGTCGAAGTCCAGGTGGACATTCTGGGTCGAGATGTGTCATTTCGGATAATGACACGTTACGTGACAAGATTGGTTAAAAATCATATCCGAAATTAAAACTAATTTTTTTATTATTTTATAAAAAAATTAATAATATTTTAAATGGGTTGGATGCTAGCACATTTTGTAGGGTTGGAGATGCATTTGTGCCAACGTATTTTTAGACTTTGTGCCAGCGCATTTTTAGAGGTAAAAGATGCATTTTGCCAATTATTGTTCATTATGGTCAATCACTATTTATTTGAATGGATTAAATGGACTGAGTACCAGTGCATTTTTAAGGATGGAGTTGCTCTAATGGGTTGAGGATTAACGCGGCTCAACCCACCCATGTCCACTCCTAACCATTGTGCCATTGTGCATGAGCACTAAGGCGTATCTAACCCTAATCTGTTTTGAGTGAAAATGAGGCGATGGTCCATCAGATTGTGCTGGGTGGATTTGACAGGTCGCTTTAACCATATTATTGATGTAGTGTAATTGAAATCATAATCACAAGCCGACCTAGATTTCCCAATATATAGCACTTGTATGAAAAATAAAAAATAAAAAAAATAATTCTGAAAAACTGTCAAAAAATAATAAGCCGACCTAGATTTCCCTATATATAACTGTTTAGAGTATCTTCAAAGGAGATTTCAAATTTTAAACATAAAATTTAAGTTTAAAGGCTTATAAATATGTAGCACATTGATCTTTTTTTTTAATTTTGTTATCCAACTGATATGTCAAATGTAAACCATTATTTATTACATTATTTACTTTTATAGTTGTAACTAGTATTTTTTTAAACAAAAGATAAGAATAAAAATTATGAAAAGCTATTATTAATTTCTAAAAATAGATTTGAAGCAGCTGTCACTTCATCTGCCACCATTTCATGTCATGTCACATAGGAATTGGCAATTCGGTGGGAAAACACTGGTGATGTTTTTTTTTACCGTTATTGCTGATGTGAACTTTTTGACATCTCATTTGAAGATGTTTTTAGAAAATAAAATAATAGCGGAAATTTTTGAAATGTCATATAAATTTATACATATTTTTAATTTGTCATTTGTACTAAAATTTTAAGCAATTTGTCATACGAATTTTCTGAAATCATTAATTTGTCATCTCACACTAATTATGTTAAGTTTTTCATCCAAAAGAATGTTATTTTGGACCTTTAACCTCATTTTTCATAAGTTTATTTATTTATACAAAGATATATGTACGCTAGGGTGGGCGATAAATTATTTTTCATGAACTTATGGTGAACTATTAAAATAGTACATTAGGCTCACTAACATGAAGCTTAACTAATTACAAGCTTTGAGAATTCAACGTGGTTAATCATGTTCGTTAAAAATAAAAGGCAGTTGAAATGTTCCAAAGAACCTTGAAAATAAGTCATGTGCCTTGAACATCGTTTATTTTGGATAGAAAACTTAAAGGAGCTAGGGTGAGATGACAAATTAATTGTTTTCAAAATTTGATATGATAAATCACTTAAAATTTAAGTTTATATAACAAATCATAAGACAATTCAAAAAAAATTGAAAAATAATATTTAGTAACAACATTAGACATGAGAAAGCTACTAAGAATGCACAAGGCACATGTCAAGTGGAAACAGGTTAGTGTATCTTTTTATAGTTGTTGTTTTCAAAGTTTATTTATTTATTTGTAGTTGGTTACAGAGTCATTTTTCTCTCTAACCAAAAAAAATGTGAAATGTAGAAATTAGATTACCAAACTTACCATTTTGCCTTCTATTGTCAAACAAAAGTGAAGTTCATTTCCTCTAATTTTTTCGGGTGAATAAATTTAATGTGTAGCTTCAATCATATAAGAAGTAAAGAAAAAAACATGATTGATTCCTAATATTAAAAACATTTTTACCTAACCGAAATGTTTTTCTTCTTTTTTGTAGGCAAAATCGCATTTACCGATTCTTTCCAATTGCCCATTGGGCATATAGTAAGCCCAGATGCATTTTATATGGCCCAAACAGTGTTCGTTTTAACGGTTTAAGGTCCAACAATGACTCCGTCGCAAGACCCACGGGCAGGAACCGTACGCGTAGCAAATCTAACAATTTCCAACACTTGTCACTTTGTAACTACTGTCTATTATTGTTGCTCTTCATTTGTCAGTGAGAGTTTTTAGATGAGAAATTTTATTTAAACCCATCTAACATATTTCTACACCCAACTTACTCTTTGCTTCCATTTGATTTTTAACTAAACTATTAATATCTCTCTAAACCCAAATTTAATACCTAATGTACCCCATAAACCCAATTTAATATGTGGATTTATTTTTACACCCATTTCTTCAACAATTGCTTCAAAGTTTTTTTTTTTTCGAAGAATGAAAAATGTAACAGCTTTATTCTCGATTCTTTTATTCAACCAAAGTAGATGAACAAATATATATATATATCAAGGCAATTCAATCATATCATGCCATGCAGCATTCTTAGTCCTTTATTTTCCGAAACGTTTTCAATTGTAAAATGATTGAATTCAAATGTACTCATACAAATTTATAGAGAACAAGTAGACCACCTGAAGTTCCTCTGGGGTACTTTCCTCAAGGACTACTCCGAGTAAACGACAAGTTACCTACAGATAAGCTTAAAAGGGTGAATTTGTTGATTCAAATTGTCACCCCTATAAAATCAAACAAATTCTCGGGACATTAAATTATTTCACAGGGTATCATGTACCAATTATTAGCCATTATTGAACATTTGAAGCTTAGCAGTTTTAATCGTGAAGTACAGAAACATCTAAAAGTAAAACCCAGAGGTTCCATAACTTCACCACGAAATTTTCACAACATGCAGGTGCCTGCCGCTTTGGTTGCCTTCTTTGTGGTCCACCGGGTGATCTAAGTAGCCTCCATGTGAAAACTATTGCAACAGCAAATCCGGTGATGGCCCCAATAGAATGCGAATTCTGACACCATTTAAAATTTCTTGAGAGAACTCAACTTTACCATCTCCATTCGAACACAACTTTGATACTTAAATGCCAAAGATGAAGCAACTGACTGGGATAATCCCAAAAGTGAAGAACTGATACTAATCGTAAGGCAATTCACATATTCCTCGACTCGAGAATCATATCATGCCATGCAGCACTCTTAGTCCTTTATTTTCCGGAAAGCTTTCAATTGTAAAATCATCTTCCAAGATTGTATTTGTAAAATAGAATAGGATTGTATTTAGTCAGAATGAACGTAGGATAAACAAAGAATGATCGTAGGGTTTAATTATAGTGTTTGGGTTTATTGATAAATTTGAGATTTATTATTAATTTCATTTTGTACTTAATAGTAATTATGCAATAGGGTAAAATAGACAATTAACATTCAAAATTTTAAGTTGGGTGTAAAAAGAGGTTGCATGGGTTTAAATAAAATTTCCCTTTTTGGATTCGATTCCCGTCAAAAGCGAACTTGAACCACACTATAGCACAAGTACGAGGCTAAGCTCACCCTCCTTAATATGAATAATATCGTTTATTAAAAAAACTAGTACATGACCACAAAGTGTGTGAAATTTTTTATTTTTGTTTTTAAAATTGAATGAGAGAGGGAAAAATGAGAGAGAAAGTGGAACTGGAGAGAGGAAGAGAAGTTTATTTTTTATTTTCTGAGAATTAGAGATATTAAAATCAAGGAAACTTTAATGAAAAACTTCATGTATTGTTCACTTTAACGAAAAACCACATTTTTACACTAAAAAGTCAATCATGGTACTATTCATTTTACCATTTTATTTTGTCCTTATCATTTTCAAGTCTTTTTCATTAGTTTTCTTTAAAATCAATTGTAGGTGAAGCTTAAACAAAAAATAAAAGCAAAATTTTGTTTTGTGAAATTATGTTTTCACCCCTACCTTCTTTTTCTTGTTGTAATAAGAGATTAAATAGTTTTTTAGCCTTTTTTTTTTTTTGGGTCAATTTTCAACTTTTTTTTTTTTATTGACAAAGAAGTTCTATTAGGGAGGGAGGGATAGAATGGCGCATTTCTGTTCACGTACTTACCCTATAAATTTCCACTTTTAGCCGCTTATTTGGTGTACTAGTTTAATGGGGAAAGGCATCCTCTCGTTTTAATCCTCATGACCCACAAAACCAGATCTTTCAAATTTGATCCAACGGTTAAAGCTATTATAACTTTTAATGAAACTTCCTGTTTTTAGCTGTTGGATCAAATTTCAAAGGTCTCGATTTGTGGGTCATGAGGATTAGAAGGAAGGGATCCGGAAATGATCCCTTTCCGTTTAATGGCTCACCACATGTTTGATGAAAGTCCTTGCCGGCATTTTGGGGTTTATAATTTTATGAACGTATCACACGAACAAAGTAAAAATTAAGAAAAAAAATATGAAGAATAACCCCTCCCACTCCACTAAACTTGTTGCATGAGATGTCAATGTAGCTTAAAACAATTAGAATCTTTACCAACCCATTTCCAGTCCTTTATTGGTAACTGTTATAGCATCCTGATAGAATACCTGACTGAACCGTAGAACTTCAAATCGTATGTGATTAATTTTTGACTCAGGCATCATCTTCACCAGCCATCATTGCTTGCCAGGTTCTCAAGCATCTTCCTAGTAATTCACCACCAAAATTGTTGCGAGCTATGTCTTTGAAGCTTTGGCCAAGTACCACTGGTTTTGTTGCATCCAACGCGTCCACAAAAAGGATTGGATCGAAAAACAAGAACACTCAAAGAGGACATCTGCTTCAACAAGCAAGGATAGATACATGGTCTGATAGATCAGCAGGATGCCTGGCAGGCACATGGCTTAACATAGCAGCAGGATGCTCCACAGATGCCTAACACCAGCAGCAGGATGCTTCACGGACACAGGGTCTCAAAACCGTATGGAGTCGGAGAAATCCAACCAGTTACCATTTGCGGAGCACATCAAACAGGAAGTATGCTGGATGCTTCCCTGGAATCTCATCCTGAATATCTTCCAAGCCAAGCTTTAACATCAGAGTTACCATTAGGCCAGGAACTTGAAGTTATGAAGCAAACGCTGGAACCATTAGATTCTACCCTTCCTAGATCAGTCCTGGCCCCTGAAGCTACTGTGGTCAATCTGGAAGACATGCCACCATTGCCACCTTTACCACCAATGCAATGGAGGATGGGAATACAACATGCCTCCCCTTTTTTCACAGAGAGAATTGGTTGGAGTTGGTTAGGATTCTTTGCTGCCAATACAGCCATCGGAATCAGTTGAGAAAGCTCAATTTGATATGCCAGCACCACAGGACCTGGTAGATTTACCAGAGAGTTGCAAGAAAGATTTGATTGACTAAAGACTGCTCAACTTCCAAATCCAGTTGGTTATTTCACCATGGATCAGGTTTGCTGAAAGGTCCAAAGTGCTTAATTTTGATTGATTTCTCAAGAAATCAGGAAATGTTCTCAACTTTCCAGAAGACAATTTCAATGTCGTAAGTTGAGGGAAGGAAGAATAAGAGGAACTAGTATTAGAATAAGTAATCAACAAGCTATTGTATGACAAATCAAGACTCGAAATTCACAAACCCTCCGTGCTGTTTTCAAATTAATTGTACAAAAGCTATAAATTTGAGACTAAGACATGTCTAGACAATATTCCAACCTCCGAGTATTGCTTCACAGTTAGTGCAGACACCAAATTTACAACCAACAGTGAAGAGAAAGAACGGAACTCAGTGAAGATGAATCAACTTTCACTAACAAGGAAATAAGCTTACAAGTTACAACACTCTCACCTAGAGCATGAACAGTACAGCCAAAAGGAAAGATGAAAAAACTAACTCAAAAGTATAAGCCACATCTAGTTATCAATGCAATTGAAAACTATGGTGTGGAAGGAAAACCGAAGCATAAAGGAGTGCCACCGCACCATGAAAACATGTGGGTTTCCAAGACAGCCACAAACAAGGAATTAATATAAGTTGTTTGGTATGTGGGAAGTCATTCTAGAAAAACACTTCAATTTTAACAGATTTCAGTACCAACAAGGAAACAATAAAGATTAAACATATGAAAAAACATCCTATTTAATACAGTTGAAGTAAGAGATAATACAGTTGAAAGTATTATCGACCATTATTATATAATACAGTTGAAGGATGAGAGCTAAGTTTTAAGAATTAGAAGCGTTGGCCGTCGGAGAGAGTTCTTTGAGAAATATCCTCAGCTGTATGTGATCAGCATATAGATCTGGTTCAGCTGATTTCAGATCCTGCACTTATCAAACCATCGACATGTATATTAGTGTGTGTACATGTGTGTGTGTGTATATATATATACATATATTTATACGTACATAGATATAAGGAAACCAACATTAGAATTATAAGGGAGTGGAAAATTTAGATATTTACTGGACATATTCGATGTTGATTCGTGTAGAAGGTGAGTGTGAGATGGCTGCAAAAGCATCGGTTGACATGGCTATGGTAGAAGGGCAAGGAGATTGACGGCAAAGGTCGACCACCTTCACCTCCACAGTAGCACCACCCTTGCAGGGCATATTAAATCCACTCAGGCACCTAATTTTATAGAGCCTTCCACACGCAGAACCACCGTCCCACAACCCTTCACTCACCGCCACAAAAAGGTACATCGTGAAAAACTTTGTATTCGAAACTGTTTTATTATTTCACTACACTACTTACAATGGACAGCAGAGTTTATATTTATATACACTGTTACAGACACGCATGCAATAAACAAATGCAATGCAAGTGATGTCCTTGCTGCCCACGATGCAGCAATCAGAACACAAGTGCAGAACCCATGTGGTAGACAAGCTGTAAAGGAATGTGTGTCCATGTGCACCATTCCTTTTGTCCAGGGTGTACAGCTAGTGGTTTAACAGTTATGATCCTTTCAGTTGCAGATTGCAGCGGGAAGGTTTGGTGGTGCTGACGTGGACCGGTTGTTCATTAGGGTTTCCGAACTAGGTTTATCACGCCCCCGCAAGCTGACGGGGCGTTGACGAACAGGAAGCTTGGAGATAAGATAATGAAAGCGGACAGAGGACAAACCCTTGGTTAAAAAATCGGCAATTTGATCTGTGGTAGCTACATAACCAACTTCTATTTCCTTGCGAATGACCTTGTCCCGGATGTAGTGATAATCCACTTCAACATGGCGCATGCGAGCTTGATAAACAGGATTGGAAGCAACAGCAATGGCGCTGATATTGTCACACCAGAGACGAGGTGGCTGTAATGGAAGATATAAATCACGGAAAAGATTGCGAAACCATGAGAGATGAGCAGAAGTATAGGCAAGTTGACGATACTCTGCCTCTGTGCTAGACCGTGATACTCCACGTTGCTTTTTCGAACTCCAGGAAATTAAATTATTGCCAAGAAATATGCAGTGACCGCCAGTGGAACGACGGGTATCAGGGTCGCCAGCGTAATAAGCGTCAGCGAAGGCAGTGAGAGTGAGAGGACTGGGTTTGTAAAGTAAGCCGTGATCATGTGTGCCTTTCAAATACCGTAAGATGCGTTTGACTGCAGCCCAATGCGCAGTAGTTGGAGAGTGCATGAACTGACATACTTGGTTGACAGCATAAGCAATATCAGGACGTGTAAATAGAAGGTATTGAAGGGCGCCCACAACACTGCGAAAAGAAGATCCATCTGAGAGAGGCTCACCATCATATAAACTCAAGCATTTACCACTGGGAATTGGCGTTGAGATAGGCTTGGCATCAGCCATATTAGTTTTCTGTAGAAGCTCCAAAATATACTTGGATTAAGTGAGATAGAAAGCAGAAGGCGTCCGGGAAACCTCCATCGCCAAGAAGTAGTGTAAGGGCCCAAGATCTTTCATTGCAAAATGAGTACCAAGCTGTGTGATAAACTGAGACAAGTGAGCATTGTTGTTCCCTGTGATTAAAATGTCATCCACATAGATGAGAAGATAAATGATTGTTGAGCCATCAAAATAGGTGAAGAGAGACGAGTCAGCTTGGGAAGCAGTGAAGCCCAAGTGTTCTAGTTTCTGGGAAAAACATTGAAACCAAGCACGGGGTGCTTGTTTCAAACCATAGAGAGACCGTCGAAGTCGACACACATGAGAGGGAAACTGTGGATCAACGAACCCTGCAGGTTGACGCATATAAACTTCCTCATTCAACGTGCCATGAAGGAAGGCATTTTGAACATCAAGTTGGCGGATAGGCCACTGAAAGTGAAGAGCAATAGAGAGAATGAGCCGAATGGTGGCATGTGTGACCACCGGACTGAAGGTTTCGCAGAAATCAATGCCCTCTTGCTGATGAAAGCCATTGGCAACTAGGCGAGCTTTAAAACGCTCAATGGAACCATCAGAGTTTGTTTTGATGCGATACAGCCATTTATTTGGTAACACGTTCATAGATGACTTGTAGGGTACCAAAGTCCAAGTGCCAGTACACTGTAAGGTGTTGAATTCATCCGCCATGGCTTGGCGCCATTGTGGAGACTTATTTGCCTGTGAGAAACATGTGGGCTCAACCAAAGTATTAGTAACATTAGTGATGCAAGCATATATGGGATTTGGTTTTCGAATTCCTTGTTGACCACGCGTGATCATGGGATGAGTGGAAGGAACAGTATGTGAAGTGGTGTTGGCAGGTTCAATATTCACGTGAGGAGTGGAAGTTGATGGGTGAGAATGGGAGTCTGGGGTAGGTAGTGGTAGGGATTGAGGGAGGGAGGTGGCGACAATCGGTGTTGGAAGGGAAGGAAAGGTCAGTGGTTGGGTGTAATGGAAGGTATCAATGTCGAGGACATGGTCCAACGGACGAGGGTTTGACAAGGTCGGAGGAGCAAGTTCTTTAGATGGAAAACTCTTTTCATTGAAAACAACATGACGAGACAGAAAAGACTTGCCAGTGGTAGGATCATAACATTTATAACCTTGATAATTTAATGAGTATCCTAAGAAAATGCATTGTTTTGATCGAAACTTAAGTTTAGAATCAGTATAAGGACGTAAATAGGGAAAACAAGCACAACCAAATACTTTGAGAAAATCATACTGGGGTGATTTTGAAAACAGTTTTTGGAAAGGAGAGACGCCATTCAAGATTTTGGTGGGAAGACAATTAATGAGATAATTTGCAGTTTGAAAAGCGTCATCCCAAAAAGTGTGAGGGAGAGACGCATGAGCAAGTAAAGTTAAGCCAATTTCAACAAGATGACGATGTTTGCGTTCCGCGAGACCGTTTTGCTCAGGATGATGAGGACAACTGAGTCTATGATGAATGCCATGTTGAGAGAAAAAGTGTTTAAAAGAGGAATTGACAAACTCTCATCCACCATCAGATTGAAAAAATTTAATTTTGGTGTTGAACATATTTTCTGCAAGCTTTTTGAAATTAACAAAGGTTTGAAAAACATCAGACTTTAATTTTAAAGGATAGAGCCATGCATAACAAGAAAAATCATCCACAAAAACAACATAATACTTGTAACCATTAATTGAATAAGAAGAAGAAATCCATACATCTGAATGTATTAATTCCAAAGGAAACGATGACTGGGAAGAAGATAAATTAAAAGGCAACTTATGACTTTTGCCAAGGGGACATGATGAACAAAAGTCGTAGGTTGCATTACCAGTTAAAGGTAATTTATTTTGGGAAATTAGACTACGCAAAACAGAACTTGCAGGGTGACCTAACCTAGAATGCCAAATAGCATCTGACACTCTAACACCGACAAATGCATAGACTCCATGGTTGACCACAGAAGAATTGAAAAATGGATAAAAACCATTTTTACTCCGGCCTTGCAAAAGCATCTTCCCCGTTTGAAGGTCCTGAACACGGTAGGAATTGGGATATAAGGTCAGTGAACAATGGTTGTCTTTGGTAAATTGATTAATGGAAATAACATTAGTAGAAGCATTAGGGCAGTGAAGGGTGTGGGGAAGGGTAAATGAGTGATGGGGTATGTGAATAAAAGAAGTGCCAACATGAGAAATGTGCAAACCTGATCCGTCCACCACGCCATTAACATTGTCAGTGCCATTGTAAGGACGAGGATTTGAAACTTGATTCAAATCATTGGTGATATGTGCATTGGCTCCAGAGTCAAAAAGCCAGTTGTGGATGCCAGAGGGAGAGGCAGTTGCCGGAGACGGTGCAGTAGCAACATAAGCTTGGAGACGTGGAGTAGGAACACGTCCTTCATAGGCCATATTGAGGCGATTGAAACAATCGATTGCAGAATGGCCGTGACGACGACATATTTGGCATTGGATACGGCCACCAGATTGGGTTGGAGAAGGAGGAGCACCAAAAACGCCATCATAAGGTTGTCGGTGTGGAGGAGCATGGTGTTCCTGGCCTTGAGGACGAGGAGGAAACTGGCCACGGCCACTATTGAAGTGACCACGGCCTCCGCAAGGAGCACCGCGACCACAGGAAGGTCCTGAACGACCTCTTCCAGCAGCAAGGGCAGTGAGCCCATTTTCAAACACTGTATGAAGCTTTTGATGTCTCTCTGCACCAAGAAAAAGAGCCTCCAAGGCACTGTAAGTAATGGCCTCATCCCGTGCTTGTGCAGAAGCAACAGTACTCTCATAAGCAGGCTCAACATTATTTAAAATAATTGCAACAAGATCAGAGTCAGTCATAGGAGAACCAGAGAGGGAGAGAGTGTCGGCAAGACAATTAATGCGATCAAGAAACTCAGCAATAGAGGAATCACCACGATGGGTATTCATAAGCTCACTACGCAATTGGAGGAGATGGCCAGTAGACTGAGAAGCATACCTGTCACGTAAACAAGTCCATGCAGAAATAGAACTTGTCTTACCAATAAGAGAGGCAAGAACTGTGGGATGGACCGAACTGTTGATCCAAGAGAGAACCATAGCATCTTGCTGAATCCATGCATCAAAGTCAGGATTGACTTTATCAGTGAGTTGGCCAGCATCATCCTTCAAGAAGGCATGAGGATATGGGTTGGTTCCATCGACAAAAGACACCAGATTCCTGCTACGAAGCAAGGGCAACATCTGGGCATGCCATAGGGGATAGTTGGTACGATCCAACTTGATAGTCAGAAAGTTGGAAGCATTTGGAAGAGAGGGAAAAGCAATGGGATTTGAGGGACTTGAACTGGACACCATGAGAGAAAAAAAAATAAAGCTTTTGGTCGTTTAGACTGTCAGCTCTTAGATACCATGAAAAACTTTGTATTCGAAACTGTTTTATTATTTCACTACACTACTTACAATGGACAGCAGAGTTTATATTTATATACACTGTTACAGACACGCATGCAATAAACAAATGCAATGCAAGTGATGTCCTTGCTGCCCACGATGCAGCAATCAGAACACAAGTGTAGAATCCATGTGGTAGACAAGCTGTAAAGGAATGTGTGTCCATGTGCACCATTCCTTTTGTCCAGGGTGTACAGCTAGTGGTTTAACAGTTATGATCCTTTCAGTTGCAGATTGCAGCGGGAAGGTTTGGTGGTGCTGACGTGGACCGGTTGTTCATTAGGGTTTCCGAACTAGGTTTATCACATCGGAGGGAACTGGTCTGGCCTACTCCCAAAGCATGTTCACTAGTACAAAAAAGACTTTGCGCGACGTAGGACCGTCGTCGCGCAAAGTCAAAAATACGTCGCCCAAAAATTAGCCAAACGTACCTTCGTCGCGCAAGAACCGTCGCGCGAAGGCAGTGAAAGAAGGGTTTGCGCGACGCAGTGCCTACTTGCGTCGCGCAAAGATACTTTGCGCGACGAAGGTCCTACGTCGCGCAAAGATACTTTGAGCGACGCAGGTCCTACGTCGCGCAAAGTATCTTTGCGCGACGCTACTTTGAGCGACGTAGGACCTGCGTCGCTCAAAGTAGCTTTGCGCGACGTAGGTAGGCACCGCGTCGCGCAAACCTTTTTTTTTTTTTTGTCATTTATATTTTTTTTATTTAATTTTTAATAAATATTATAATTAAATTCTAAACAATAATTAATAAACCAAGAAAAAGTAATTAATTATAGAATATATGAAAATGTACGTTTGTCCGAACAAAAAAAATAAAAAACTGCAAGTCTTCTAAGTTTAATACATCATGCTTCTCGGTATCGTTTGGGCGAAATGGTTGGGAAGTTGAAGGTGGAGCAACATTAGGTGCTAGCATCGTCGGGATTTGGAGGCCGGACATCGCTAAGGCCTGAACAATCATATTCATCCTCTCGTCCTGGGCCCTAATATGGTCGCCCTGGGCCGCAACCTGACCTCTTAGGGTTGTCACTTCCTCCTTCAAGGAATTGACCTCTCCTGTGGACAATCTGGAAGAAGAGGCACCCGTTTCACGAACCCCCGCCTTCCCCGTACACCGAACAACCTTACCATGACGACGACCGAACTTCTGATCTAGGACCTCAGTCACGATCTGAACATCTGCATCCTTGGGTACACTGCCGTCCTCGATCGGGGTCTCTGGAGGAAGCTGCGATGTTGCTTCTTGGAGAATAGCAGTGCTCTTTTCCACCATATCACCCTGTAATAATAAAGAAAAAACATATAATGTTTAATAACAAAAATATAAATAATATTTGAACGATTCATAAAAATAAGAAAAATAACAATTACATATACTTACATAAAGCTGGTCACTGTTCTCATTGTTGGGATGAACGTAAACATACTTGAACAGGTCAATCTGTGGGAACTTAGAACCCTCCTACAGAAAAAAAAAACATTAAAAAAAATTTATTAATCAATAATAAAAAAATAAATTGTATAAAATTTCAAAATTAATATACTTTTACCTCACGTCGTGCCTCAACCCTATACGAAAAGGGCTTCGAACCGGAATGGTGGAGAAGTGTCTTTGAGTCCCGAGCTTTCTTGCCAGCAATAGCTTTGTTCTGTTAAACATACAATATATATGTTAGTGCGACTATTTGAAAGAAATTATTAAAAAAAGCTTAAATAAAATAACAAAAACAATAAATTATTATTAAAGTATTATGTACATACCAGAAATTTTGGATCCGTAAAATGTGTGCAGAGCCACTCCCAATCCTCTCGCCGCTCCTTATACTCGAGTGGGCAACCCTGTAGGCGAGCAAAAGCTAATAAATAGTGTTCTTGATACTTACTCACTGCTTAGCAACAGCACAACTAATAAAAAGGTTCAGCACGATAATACTATCGGGAGATGAACTCCAAACAGGATACAAGGACACATACAGAACACAACCTACAACCCTAGTGAAAATAGGGTTTAATCAAAGTGACAAACCTCATCCACATACAGAACACAACCTACAACCCTAGTGAAAATAGGATCGTTTATCGATTCATAACCAACTCCGTTGACCGATTCTCAACTTGTTTGCAGCACAAATCAAGTTCTTCAACATCGAAACCATTTTCTTCAAATAAGCTCATCAATAACTCATTAGAAAAGTAAAAAGCGTGCTGGAAAATAAAAAGGGATTACAACCAAGCTTGTCAACCAAGAAAAAAGTAAAAAGTAGCTCAATGTACGAGCGCGTGCTAGTAAAACTTTCAGTGCCATCACCCCTGACATAAAAGATTTCACTTATCTTTTGGTCCTTGCAATTCAATCTTTCCTGTCAATTACCATTACATTAACAAAGAAGTAAACTTCAATATCTTGTAACCATCTTTCAAAGGAGGAACAAATCAATCTATAATAAGGATGAACTTCAAAATACACACACATATATATGAACCTGAGCAAGGTCACCAGTAGCAGAGTCACGAAACAGCACACAAAGGTTTCTTCGCAACATAATAAATTGAAATGGCAGGCATTTCATCATAATTAAGCTCATCTAAATATTAAATCCAAATATGAACCTCAACAAAGGTTTCTTCGCAACATAATTTGGACTTCAAACACAAGATGATGGCTGCAAGGAATAACTCTACACACCCACTTCACACTCTTTCACTGAGTCATGAGTACACTTATGAACACATAATTTTTTTCATTTTTTTTCTTCTGTTTTAACAGATTAATATTGAGAGGACAAAATGGATTGGAATACAGAAGGACAAAAGCTAATAAATAGTGTTCTTGATACTTACTTACTGCTTAGCAACAGCACAACTAATAAAAAGGTTCAGCACGATAATACTATCGGGATCTCCTCAATGACAACCCCGTTAGCGACTCCAAAACTCAGTGCAGAAACTTAATAATTTGTACGACAAGATTTGTAGCCCAGGACACTAGCCAAGGTGTGTGTTCATGTTTAAGTTTGGTAAGCTGAATGACAACTGATGGTTTACCAGGAATCACTAAAGGGGGTGAACAATAAACAATCCCGGTATTCTGCTTCCAACAATTTTTCTACATAATCCCCCGTGTTTCATTTCAATCTACCAAACCATCTACTCAGAATATCACCGCGATACGAACAAGGCCATACTATTGACTCGCATTTTACCATGAAATCAAATCAATATCAATTCACTATCACCGACTATAGAGAAAACGATTATAAATACCCCAAAGAAAACTAGTTAAGCAAAAACCCATCACAACCTCGTATGCATCTCCAACTAAAAGAAAACTAGTTAAGCAAAAACCCATCACAACCTCGTATGCATCTCAAACTAATGTATTACAGAATTAGAGAAATTTGGTAACAGATAAATTTGTGGCAAAAACCCTAAATAACAAAAACCCATCGAAAATCAGAAACCCTTACCTTGATTTTGGGACTTGATTCGCGTCGGCTTCGAGATTCCCCTGGTGGCCTGTTGTTTGGGTTCAAGGTCTGGGTTCGACAACCCAAGAGGAAAGACAGGATTTGGGGTCAACGGGGAAAGAAATAGGGAAAGAAAGAGAGGGGGATTTGGGGTCTAAGAGGAAAAAAAAAAGGGAGGGTTCAAGATCTGGGATCTACGGGGATAATTGAAAAAAGAAAGCCCATTTTTCACTGTTGTACTGCCAAATTTATCACAACTCGCGCGACGTAGTTATACAATTTGACGTCGCCCAAAGTGGTTTTGCGCGACGTACACATAAAGGGGTCGCGCAAAGTATTTTTTCAAAAAACAAAATTATTATAAAAATTACTGAAAATATGATTTTCCTCCTTTCAAAATTAATTTTTTTTTTTAAATAAACCACACAAAAATATATTTTGCTAACAAAAACCCACAATAATTATATATATATATATATATATATCATTCAATTTCTTAAGTGTTATAAGTACAAAATAAATAAATTAAAATCTACTTTGTAAATATATATACCATTGAACTTGATGGGATACGCATTGTACGAAACTAGTTTCAATGATCTAACCGTCAAACTTGTTTGTATATGCTTCGAGATCGCATACACCAAAAATTGCAAAAAAACAAACATATAGAGATTAAGTAACGGGACAAAACATTTCAACGGATATAAACGAAAAATCACGATTTAACGGTTAATTTAACTCCGATTTTGATGAATTTTTACAGCCACACTCTTTAACCCTATATCAATACAATCAACTAATTTGATCGTCAATTTAAAACATTGACACAAGTGGATACCACAAAATCTTATGTTATACTTAATGAAAGTAAAATAAACTTCAAGTGTTAGTGAATCTAATGTTTTGATGGGATACGCATTGTACGAAACTAGTTTCAACGATCCAACCGTCAAACTTGTTTGTATATGCTTCGAGATCGTATATGCCAAAAATCGAAAAAAAATAAAATTCAGAGATCAAGTAATGGGACAAAACATTTCAACAGATATAAACGAAAAATCACTATTTAACGGTTATTTTAACTCCGATCTTGATGATTTTTTATAGCTACGCTCTTTAACCTTATATGCATACAATCAACCAATCCGATCGTAATTTGAAACATTGACACAAGTGGATACCATAAAATCTTATGTTATACTTAATGAAAGTAAAATAAACTTCAAGTGTTAGTGAATCTAATGTTTTGATGGGATACGCATTGTACGAAACTAGTTTCAACGATCCAACCGTCAAACTTGTTTGTATATGCTTCGAGATCGTATACGCCAAAAATCGTAAAAAAAAATTCAAAGATCAAGTAATGGGACAAAACATTTCAACGGATATAAACGAAAAATCACGATTTAACGGTTATTTTAACTCCGATCTTGATGATTTTTTATAGCTACGCTCTTTAACCTTATATGCATACAATCAACCAATCCGATCGTAATTTGAAACATTGACACAAGTGGATACCATAAAATCTTATGTTATACTTAATGAAAGTATAAATAAACTTCAAGTGTCAGTGAATCTAATGTTTTGATGGGATACGCATTGTACGAAACTAGTTTCAACGATCAAACCGTCAAACTTGTTTGTATATGCTTCGAGATCGTATACGCCAAAAATTGTAAAAAAAAAAACATTCAGAGATCAAGTAATGGGACAAAACATTTCAACGGATATAAACGAAAAATCACGATTTAACGGTTATTTTAACTCCGATTTTGATGATTTTTTACAACTACGCTCTTTTACCCTATATGAATACAATCAACCAATCCGATCGTCAATTTAAAACATTGACACAAGTGGATACCACAAATCTTATGTTATACTTGATGAAAGTATAAATAAACTTCAAGTGTTAGTGAATCTAATGTTTTGATGGGATACGCATTGTACGAAACTAGTTTCAACGATCCAACCGTCAAACTTGTTTGTATATGCTTCGAGATCGTATATGCCAAAAATCGAAAAAAAATAAAATTCAGAGATCAAGTAATGGGACAAAACATTTCAACAGATATAAACGAAAAATCACTATTTAACGGTTATTTTAACTCCGATCTTGATGATTTTTTATAGCTACGCTCTTTAACCTTATATGCATACAATCAACCAATCCGATCGTCAATTTGAAACATTGACACAAGTGGACACCACAAAATCTTATGTTATACTTAATGAAAGTATAAATAAACTTCAAGTGTTAGTGAATCTAATGTTTTGATGGGATACGCATTGTACGAAACTAGTTTCAACGATCAAACCGTCAAACTTGTTTGTATATGCTTCGAGATCGTATACGCCAAAAATTGTAAAAAAAAAACATTCAGAGATCAAGTAACTAGATAAAATATTTCGACGGCTATAAACCAAAAATCACGATTTAACGGTTAATTTAACCCCGATTTTGATGATTTTTTACAACTACACTCTTTAACCCTATATGAATACAATGAACTAATTTGATCGTCATTTTCAAATATTTACACAAGTGGATACCACAAAAGAAAAAGGCAATACAAGAACCCCAAAAGAAAAGCAAAAGGGGACAAAAAAAATAAAAAACAAAAAGAAGACTTTGCGCGACGTAGGTACTCATACGTCGCGCAAAGTCTTCTTTATTTTTAATTTTTTAATTTTTTATTATATGGAGATTAAATCTCTACCTTTCATTTCTACCACTGACTCTCGCCTCCTTTCTTGACTTGTCCAGGATCCATCATTCTCTCTTAAGATGGATCCATCCTTTCTTAAGATGGGACTCTCGCCTGCCACCGCTTCCTCAGCGCCTACTCCACCGCGCACTCCTCCTCTCGTTGAAGCTACGGTGGTCTTCATCGGCGCTACCACTACGGTGCCACGACTCGATCCCAACTATCAGGTCAACTCGCCCGTTCGACGACGACGGTTACCTGGGCTACGACCCCCGACTCTTCTCCCAGCGATTCGAATCCTTCGTCGACTCCGAGTCGCTCAAGGACTCCGCCACTGATTCCCCAATATTCCACGGCTCCGCCGCAGACGACGCTTTCGAAGAGAGAGATGGGCGATGGAGGTAGCTGCTACAACTGGATATGTAGTTTCTGCCTCCCAAACTGATCAAATGAAAGAAAAAAAGTTGTTGACTTTGCGCGACGCATGCCCACCTACGTCGCGCAAAACAACTTTGCGCGACGTAGGTGGGCATGCGTCGCGCAAAGTTGGGAAAAAGCGGTAAATTCTTTTGGTTTGGCGCCAAAATTTTGCGCGACGAAGGACAGCGTCGCGCAAAATTACGTCGCGCAAACGTGTTTTTGTACTAGTGGTTGTTGCTACACAACAATTACAATAATGGCATAAGAAAAGCTAATTGTCATTGACATGATCCAATTAATTCTCAATGCCCCTGCAACTAACTAGACATAAATTACTCACTTAAAACCATTTAAACCCCCTAATTGTGATAAGGCAATCACAAGAATACAGTAATCATTGCGTTGAGATGAATAAGTTGTTTACTTACACATATAAGGAGGACCGTAAGAAGTTGCTGTGCCGAGATCGCCAGAAACTAGCCTTGATTCTGTGCAAAAAAAGCCTAAAACGATCAACATGAATAAGAGTCCCATGTTCATGGAGCCTGCCCAGGATGTTGTGAAAGGAGCGGCCACAGTTTTAATGGGTCCTTTGATTTTGAGGGTTTGGGAGCTATGAATGAAAAAAAGAGGCGGGGGGCATCCCATTCATCGCATAATTGTTTGTGGGATGACACAACCCATGACACAACTGGAGTCTAATTCTACAGAACCCATGACACTACACAATCCAAAATTAACAGATTACAGTGACAACATTCCAACAAAAGAAAGAAGACCAAAAAAACTATCTATTCTAAAGTAATTTAGTTCCATCATGCATAAATCAAGGCAGTCACGTAAGGCTAGTATCTATAGTAATCCCTCACACAGTGCAGCCCCCTAGCAATCTAACAAAGAAAGATTTATGTCAAAAGAGAAAAAGAAAATGAGCTTTAAATGCGAGATGTTTGGTGTGGTTTTCGTTTTCTCTTCTTCTCTTACAAACTAAGCTTACACCTATCCATCCATCCTCCCATTATGTATAAATCCATACGCAAACACATATTTATATACACAGACAACATTGAGTTCAATCCAAATCTATAGTCCTAACAATATACTTAACACACAAAAAAAACTACATTCAACTTAATAATTTCACAAAGCTTATAATTCACAAAAAACAAAAGAAAAACACTAACAATTTCAACCCTATAATTTCACTAACCTTGTGGCTCATAAGAAGTCTTTTACTGCAAGAAAAAAAAAAGAGTGAGCAACAATTAAAACACAAATTTTCAAACAAACAAAAAAACCTACATTCAACTCAATAATTTCACGAACACCAAAAATTACAGAAAGTAAAGGCAACGGCAGTACCTCTCGGGGTTGGGAGGAGGGAGTTCGCCATAGGCGGGGGCGAAGAGATCGAGAGATCGTTTGAGGAGTTTGAGACTGAGCTTCATCCATTAACAATATACCTAGAATTCCCCAAGTTTTCAAATGGAAATTAAACATTTACATGCTTATATAAAAAGCCAAAATATAAAAAATTAATCAAAAGGTTGAGAGAACTCACATCCCAATCATGCTCATTACTGATATTAACAGCCATTGACAGCAGCCCTTGATTTGTGGAATTCCCACGCCCAACTCCATGAGCTCTGTCTCTGCCATCCCTCTTTCCCTCACAACCATACCCATTTTGGACCCACCCCTCAATCCCGACACCAACCCTTGATTTGAGGAGGAAAAATCAATCCAACACTCTTTTTGGCAAGCCTCACTCCTCCCTCTCCCTTCCCCTCCCTGCCAATCCACGCCCATCTCCCTCGTTGTAGCTCTGCAACCCACGTTTTTTAGCACCATCTCCCTTCCTCTACATGGCATTCCACACCCTCCTCCCCCATTCCATAAACCCAGCCCAAGCCTTACCCCAACTCCGGCCCCCTCACTTTCTCGAAACCAACTCTCAAACCCTAGAACGCAGCACTCTCACTCTCTCGCAACCCACTTTGAGTGACACGGATGCAACAACCCTCATCCTCTCTACCGTCGTCGCCTAACCCCAAAATCGCGCGCTCTCTCTCTCTCTCTCTCTCTCTCTCTCTCTCTCTCTCTCTCTCTCTCTCTCTCTCTCTCTTTCTCTTCCCAAATCGAGCATCATCACTCAATCCCCTCTCTTTCTTTCCCTCGAATCGTACACCACCTGTGACTCTGTCTGTCTACAAGCCGCATGCCTTCCTCTCACCAAATCCCTATCTATCTCGCTTCTCTCCTGCTCCCTCACTCTCTCTCTCTCCCGACAGCATGGTCTCACCGAGTCCCACTGCAGCTTCGGAAAGGAAATGAAAGTCTCTAACCCACCCAATCCGTTCGAAACCCTACAGACTAAAATGGCCATTGCACCCCTGCCTTTCCACGATTATCAACACGCGGCATGAAGATTAGCGGCAGAGAGAGTCAATGGCAGCCTCGTAAATAAAGTGAAATTCAGCCCAAATCACTGTTCATTTTTACAGTGCCAATTCCAATGCTTTCTTTAGACTAAAATAATAAGAGATTAAATAGTCTTTTTAAACCTCTTTTGATTGACAAAAAAAATTCTATTCATATGTAATTTAGATAAAAACAAGTTCCAACACTTTGCCCAGAGAGAGATAGGGAGAGAGAGCATGAATAGCGCACTTCTCTTCACGTACTTACCCTAAAAATTTACACTTTTAGCCGCTTATTTGGTGTACTAGTTTAATGGTTCACCACATGTTTGATGAAAGTCCTCGCCGGCATTTCGGGGTTTATAATTATATGAACGTATCACCAATGCGATGGGGGATGAGAATACAACATGCTAGATCAGTCCTGGCCCCTGAACTCTTCCAAGAACAGTCCTGGCTCCTGAAGCTACTGTGGTAAATCCGGAAGACATGCCACCATTGCCACCTTTACCACCAATGCGATGGAGGATGGGAACACAACATGCTGCCCTTTGTCCACAGAGAGAATTGGTTGGAGTTGGTCAGGATTCTTGGCTGCCAATACAGCCTTCGGAATCTGTTGAGAAAGCTCAATTTGATATGCTAGCACCACAGGACCTGGTATTAGGACATGTCTAGACAATATTCCAAACTCCAGAGTATTGCTTCTCAGTTAGTGCAGACTCCAAACTAGCCCAAGACTTACAACCAACCGTGAAGAGAAAGAATGGAACTCAATGAAGATGAATCAACTTTCACTAACAAGGAAATAAGCTTACAAGTTGCAACTTTCATTTTAACAGATTTCAGTGCCAACAAGGCAACAGTAAAGATTAAACATATGAAAAAACATCCTATTTAAATTATTGAATAATAGTAAAAAGGTCCAAATTATCGACCATTATTATGTATACAGTTGAAAGTCTGAGAGCTACGTTTTAAGATTTAGAAGCAGGCCGTCGGACAGAGTTCTTTGACTAATATCCTCAGCTGTATGTGATCAGCACATATCTGGTTCAGCTGATTTCATATCCTGCACTTATCAAACCATCGACATGTATATTAGTGTGTGTGTGTGTGTGTATACATATACGTACAACAGTAGAAAGAGAGTGGAAAATTCAGATAGATATTTACTGGGCATATTCGATGTTAATTGGTGCAGAAGAATTGTGAGAGATGGCTGCAAAAGCATCGGTTGACATGGCTATGGTAGAAGGGCATGGAGATTGACGGCAAAAATCCACCACCTTCGCCTCCACGGTAGCACGACCCTTGCAGGGCATATTAGGTCCACTCAGGCACCTAATTTTATAGATCCGTCCGCACGCAGACCCACCGTCCCACAACCCTTCACTCACCGCCAAAAAAAGGTACATCGGAGGGAACTGGTCTGGCCTAGTCCCAAAGCATCTTGTTGCTGCTCAACAATTACAATAATGGCAAAAGAAAAGGTAATTGTCATTGATATGATCCAATTAATTCTCAATACCCTATTCAACCTGCAACTAACAAGACATGAATTACTCACTGAAAACCATTTAAACCCCCTAATTGTGATTAAGGCAATCACAACAATACAGTAATCATTGCGTTGAGATGAATAAGTTGTTGACTCACGAATATAAGGAGGACTGTATGGAGTTGCAGTCCCGAGATCGCCAGAAACTAGCCTTAATTCTGTGCAAAAAAAGCTTAAAACCATTAACATGAATAAGAGTTCCATGCTGAAGATGTGGTCAAAGGAGCGCCCACCCATTATTTAACGAGGGTTTTGGGAGCTGTGAATGAAAAAAGAGGCGGTGCAACTAGAGGCTCAAGAGAGACGAGGCCCCAGTATGGGGCACGTGGAAATTTGATTGCTAAGATGGTGACCACTCACAACAACGAAAGAGATTGACATGAGTCAAAGTTAATGGCTGGACAATATATGAAAATTCATTTATTCAACAAGACGCATCCAAATATGATCATTAGAGACCTTACCTTGGCCGTAATCGGAGATAAAATTGCCAGAAGAGTCGGTCCATTTAAAAGCTTCTAGAACTCGGTTATTATTATTATTACTACTATTTTGCTACAATTGGACAAATTCAAATGATGAACCTCTCCCTATTCTAATCCACCAACTTACCCTACCACGACTAATCCACCAACTAACCCTACCACGACACCAAGGACGGATCTGTATAGGGCCTAGGGGGGGGCATCCGCCCCCACCCAAATTTTTGTGTGCGTGCATGTGTGTTCTTTTGCATTCCAATTCCCAAGCCCTAATTAAACTACAAATGAAAAAATGGATTGCATTTCAATTCCAACGTAAAAAAAAATGGTTCAATGGAAAAAATACAAGGTGTATCCGTTAGTTTACATGCTTGTGACATTAGCACTAACTCTTCCAGTTGCTACTGCCACCGTTGAAAGAATATTTTCAGCCATGAAAATTTTGAAGAATCGATTGAGAAATCGAATGATAAATCAATAGATGAATAATGTCATGATTATTTTTATAAAGAGAGATATTTGATGGTATTAGTAATGATGTTGTCATGCATCGCTTTCAAAACATGAAAACACGTCAAGGAATATTGTATAAAAAACTTTATGAATTAATATATAGAGAACTTTAACGAAAAGCTCACGGTACTGTTCACTTTAACGAATAAGTGTTTGTACAGTAAATTCTAAAGTTTTTTAATGTACCTTGTTGTTTGAGTAAATAGTCCAAGGGTTCAACTTTTTCTTAATTTGTGTTGTTTTTTACCCTTGCACGTGAAAGGAGATTTAGCGGCTGAGTTGCCCATAAATATTAGGAAAAATTGCACCAACAAAATCTTGTACTCAGGTTAAAAAGATTTACATAATTCAACGACCAGACTTCGAAGTGTTTCAGTGTATTTATCTTCTCCCAATTTTCATCTACTATATTGTGACAAATATGAGCACATTGTGAGTTTCTCTTCCCCACGTTCGTTTCTTGTTCATTCCATAATTATATGATCTCTCATATACATGGGTGGATGGGTATAAATTGCTCTGGGTCCGACTGTGAGAGATGAATTATGACCATCCAAAATAATAATATAATAATAATTACAGGTAGGGAATATGCCGTAATTGTGACATTTTGTAAATATGTTTGATACAAAAGCTCCCCCATGTGCTCTTCTAGTGGATAGGGTGTCAGCAAAATTTTATAAAAAAAATGATATAAAAAGCTTCTTCTCACTTAACATAATATTATTGGCCCGATGCGTTATGTGAAAATATTTATGTGCAATGTTCGTTGCTCTTCAAGACAAGGCAACATTTTATGACTGTCACGCTATTACATAATACTATTAATCAATTTATGTAACATCCCACATCGTTCAAATGAGTGGATCATCTAAGCCTTATATGTATATTCTCATCTCTACCTAGCATGAGGCCTTTTGGGAGCTCACTGGCTTCGAATTCCATTAGAACTCCGAAGTTAAGCGAGTTCGCGCGAAAGCAATCCTATGATGGGTGACCCACTAAGAAGTTCTCGTGTGAGTTCTCATAAACAAAACCGTGAGGGCGGTCAATGCTCAAAGCGGACAATATCGTGCTACGGTGGAGTCGAACCCGGGATGTGGTGGGGGTCCGAGCCAGGATGTGACAATTTACATGTTATAATATAAATGAATGATTTACTCATTTTTCATATACCCCATTTGATTACTATTGCACTACAATGAAATTGATACTTTTTGCTCAAGATCTTGTGCTTTATAAACCTTATTATGTCAATTTAGGCCATAGTACAAAATCAAACAAATATATAATTTGCTGCCGCAATTTTGAAGAGAGACTTGCAACCACAAATCGGTAAGTAGGAATAGCGTAAGCAACTGCTTTAATAAGGACCTCACGTCCAGCAGGAGAGAGAGTTTGATTTCCATCCTTGAATTTTTTTTGTTTTATAAGATGCTTAACAAATGCCAAGGCCACCCATTTCGACCGGCCCCAAATGGAAGGGAGTCCAAGATATATCCCCGGGTCATTCGATTCCGTCATACGAAAATTTTGGCAGAGGATCTCTCTTAAAGGCGTTGGGGTATTTTTAGAAAAATAGATGGTGAATTTATCTGGGTTTTACGAGTTGTCCGAAGCCAACGAATTACTACAATGTTTCTCTATATCATTATAAACTTGAGTTCTACATAAACTACAAAGCCGCTATACTTGATAATATATATCCTCAGCTGTATATATATATATATATATTATATGTAAGGTAAATTACATTTTATTCCCTCACATTTGATTGTAAGTGCAATTGAAACCTCATACGTCATTTTAAAAACATTTCAATCACATACATTTACTTGTTTTTATTACAATTCCATAATTCCGTTAATTGAATTGTTAATTTGATCGTTAAATGATGTAATGACAACTGTGGGTCTCATGTTTGCCCGTCAAATTTGTCCATACAGATAAAAAAAAATTATAAAAACCTTTTGTTTTTTAAATAGGATGCTTGTAATATCTCAACATTAATCTGTCTGTTGCATTCGATACTTACTCGTTCCTCAAACCACCCAACAATTTCACGTGGATCTCCCATACATTTCAAGCTGTATTATCATCATCACCGTCCAAAATTCCACGTGTAGGCATGCATGGAAATAGTCCTCCACCAAATATCTTGTCAAACTCCGTCCATCAGACTCACAATTAGACAAAGATCAGTGAATTATTGTCAAGTTGATATGAACCTGTCCTTATCCTAACCCACCATCTTAACCTACCTCAACACTTTGACTATCAACTTTTTCTTTATTTGTGTTGTTTTTGACCCTTGCGTGTGAGTTGAATCTTATACTCTGGTTAAAATGATTTACATAATTCAACGACAAGACTTCAAAGTTCAAAGTGTTTCACAGTGTAATTATCTTCTCCCCTACCATATTGTGACTTAATATGAGCACATTGTGACTTGTACGCAAAACCCCATTTCGTTGGTTCCCTAGTTCACTACACTTGAACTGATATTGAATTACTAAGATGTATTTATTATGTACTAATTATAATTACTAAGAAATGGGATCAACCATTTTAATGAGATACGCACCATTCTTATTCTTTTCACTATCCTAAAAGTTTGAAAAAAATTGAAACACTCTGTTGAAAATTAGTGAAGGATGAAAAATTATTTTAGAATTTGCAGCCATCTTGAACAGTGAAAAGGTACGGCGCTCATGGGTCGATTTGGGGAAAAAATTACAAAAATCATAATTGATTCCTAGTCTTTATGAACGATCAATATTGCGTGATCAGAAAGTTCTGCATAATTGAATCCGGAGAAGATCCTAATCCTTTATGGAAATCTAGACATATATAAAGAGAGAGAGAGACAGAGAAAGAGGATGTGCAATATAATATTTACCAACCTCAACTGCTAATTTTTTTTTTACTTCGACTGAGGATACTAAGTTGAAAAATTGTTGTTTATAGAATACACCCACGCATATTAGAAAATATTTCTTTACACCCACGCATATTAGAAAATATTTCTTAAATCATCCATATCATTGTCACGGTTGAAATCAATTTGCATGTCTCTAGTTGTCTAAGAGAATTTGTTTAATTCTCTTACTATTGGGCTAAAATAAGCTATGGGAAGAAAATTTATCTTGTAGCTAAATTATATCATGATGTAAGCTTGACTTAAATTATTATAGATCCACCAAGTTATATTTCAAACAATTTTTTTTTTGTTTTTTTTCTTATAATCTAATGGCTATGACCAAATGAGATCAAATCTAATGGTAAAAAAAAAAAAAAAAATTGATTGTCCAAAATTAAATCTAACTCTAAAATAATTTAAAAAAAATATATTTAAATCAAATTTAACTTAAAACTTTATAAATACCTATGTATTTGTATGATTTTTAATTACTTATCAAAATTTAAATATTTTTAGATTAAAATGTTCATAAAAATAAATTAGGATAATCTACATAAATTTTATTTTTTAAAAAGTTACCAAAAAAATTAGGCTAAAATCATTATTTAATAATCTCGGACTAAAATTTTAAGACCTAAGGGTTGGAGGAGAAAAATAGTTTCTGGGTTATGGCTTAGAGTTGGTTTGAGATTGTGATGCTATAAAAAAACAACTTATTAAAAAATTTAGAATATTAAACATGTTTGGTAAAAATTAAAAAAAATATTTTTTTTTAAAACTGTTGTCAATAAAAGTAGAAAAACAGAAGCGTCTAACATGTTTTTAGAAAGATTGTTTTTTTTTTTTCAAAGCATAGTAACCAATGTACATATATCTTGCACATGTTTTCAAACACAAAGTGTCAGTGTCTTATATCTCTGACCCACAGCCCAAAACAGAGAGAACCCCAACCTCATGTTGGGACTTGGCTAAAACCTTATTTTTAAGGTAACTTTAACGAAACTCTTCCGGTACTGTTCACTTTAACAAAAAACCACATTTTTACACTAAAAAGTCAATCCTGGTACTATTCATTTTACCCTTTATTTTGTCTTTATCATTAAAACTCAAAGTTTTCAAGCCCTTTTTATTAGTTTTTCTTATTTTTAAACATCCCAATAGCGATTAATCTAAACATATTTGGTCTCCGTAACTTCGGATATTATATGGGTAAACATCAGCGTTCTTGTATGCTATTTTGGAAGTGGTGTGCTATCCACACACACCCCAAATTACTTCTCACACACTCCTTGTTAATTTATGTCTGTTGATCTTCTTCAATTTATCCGATCCAACGGTTGAAAATTTATTGACAATATCAACTCATATGCGTGGGCCCCGCCGGTGTGTTTCCACACCAGATGCTCTGCAAAAAAGACACAATCTCGAATTAGAAACACATAAAGAAGAAACATATAGTATACATATATAGCAAGGGAAAGTAAAAATAATGAAAAGTTCAATCAAAGGGAGTGGAGGAAACCCTTTTTTCTTACCCAAAGCATTGAAGTAGCAGAAGCCATTATTTTGTTCTCTTTTTGCCCTCTTCCCGTGTCCCTTTCCTTTTTTACCTCTTTAAAATGATAACTGATAAGAAAAATAAATAAATAAATAGATCTCCGTACGTATGACTTTTATGCTTCTTTTCTTCCTCTTTCCCGACAACACATTTCTTATTCGGCAACTTTATACTTTGAAATTTTGGCTTTTTATTTTTTTAAATTTAAATTTCTTCATTTTATAATATTCAATTTTGTTTTTTGTTAGTCTACAATGCCCAATTGCCAATGATTCTAACTATACTCTTGCCTTGCCTACAATCTATAACAAAAGAAAAGAAGAAAAAGAAAACTCTAGAAAAAAAATCCTACTGAGCCATGAAATTTATATCTACCACAGCTCAAAATTCAAAATATGAAAATTAATATATCGGCAATGTTCATTTTCATCTAATAATTGCGTATTCAATTTAACGAATCAGAACAGCAGAAAATGATCATATGTTTTCCTTGACAGGTATCAAGGAAAACACGTCAGAGGGAATCAAGCAGATGGATTCATCAAGCGCGATGAAATTCCTTACCTGGGAAATGTTTGGCTTGGTGATGTCTACTTCCTTGACTTTGCACATCCACAAACTAAAAAATACTTGGCTACTTGTTCATCATCGTTCAATCACTCTTGTTAATTTTCCTTTTTTTATGTTTCGTTTCGTTTCGGCTTTTCTTTAACAGCGTAGCACACATAACCAATCAAATTGATTCATTAACTTAGAGCATCTCCAAAGGAAATGTCAAAATGTCAAAATCAGCAATAACGATAATAAAAGATAACAATAATGTCTTCCAATCGAGAAGACAAATCTGATGTGGCATGACATGGAAAGACATCTCTTCCCTTTTTTCTCTCTTACCAAAAAAAAAATATGTGAAATGTAGAAATTAGATTACCAAACTTACCATTTTGCTTTCTAATGTCGAACAAAAGTGAAGTTCATTTCCTCTAATTTTTTTCGGGTGAATAAATTTAATTTGTAGCTTCAATCATATATGAAGTAAAGAATAAACATGATTGATTCCTAATATTAAAAATATTTTTACCTAACCGAAATGTTTTTCTTTTTTTTTTAGGCAAAATTGCTTTTACCGATTTTTTCCAACTGCCCATTGGGCTTATAGTAAGCTCAGATGCATTTTATATGGCCCAAACAGTGGTTCGTTTTAACGGTTTAAGGTCCAACAACGACTCCGTCGCAAGACCCACGGGCAGGAACCGTACGCGTAGCAAATCTAACAGGTTCCGACAATTGTACTTTGTAATACGGTTATTGTTGTTGCTCTTCATTTTTATGAGAAAGTTTTTAGATTTGATTCCTGCCAAAAGCGAACTTGAAACACATTATAGCATCATTATGAAGGTAAGCTCACCCTCTTAGTATGGACAATATCGTTTGTTAGAAAAACTAGTACATGACCACAAAGTGTGTGAAATTTTTTTTTTTTGTTTTTAAAATTGAATGAGAGAGGGAAAAATGAGAGAGAACGTAGAACTGGAGAGAGGGAGAGAAGGTTATTTTTTTTATTTTTTTATTTTTTAATAATTAGAGGTATTAAAATCAATTGTAGATGAGGCTTAAACAAAAAAAAGCAAATTTTATTTTGTGCAATTATGATTTCACCCTTACCTTTTTTTGTTGTAATAAGAGACTAAATAGTCTTTACTCTCTTTTAATTAACCAAAAATTTTCTATTCATATGTAGTTCGGAAGATAGAACAAGTTTCAACACTTTGCCATGCTGCGCACCACGTTTTGAAGGAAGAGAGAGAGAGCCTAAAAATTTGCACTTTTAGCTGCTTATTTGGTGTACTCGTTTAATTGCTCACCACATGTTTGATGAAAGTCCTCGCCGGCATTTAGGGGTTTATGATTATATGAACGTATCACACGAACAAAGTAAAAATTAAAGAATAAAATATGAAGAATAACTCCTCCCACCCCATAACCCACTCCACTAAACTTGTTGCTTGAGATGTCAATGTAGCTGAAAACAGAATCTTTACCAGCCCATTTCCAGTCCTTTATTGGGAACTATTATAGCATCCTGATAGTATACCTGACTGAACTTTAGAACTTCAAATTGTATGTGATTAATTTTTTACTTGGTATCATCTTCGCCAGCCATCATTGCTTGCCAGGTTCTCAAGCATCTTCCTGGTAATTCACCACCAAAATTGTTGCGAGCTATGTCTTTGAAGCTTTGTCCAGGTACCACTGGTTTTGTGACATCCAACGCGTCCATAAAAAAGGTTGGATCGAAAAACAAGAACACACAAGGAGGACATCTGCTTCAACAAGCAAGGATAGATACATGGTCTGATAGATCAACAGGATGACTGGCAGGCACATGGCTTAACATAGCAGCGGGATGCTCCACAGACACTTGCCTAACACCAGCAGCAGGATGCTTCACGGACACAGGGTCTCAAAACCATATGGAGTCAATCCAACCAGTTACCATTTGCGGAGCACATCAAACAGGAAGTATGCTGGGATGCTTCTCCGGAATCTCATCCTGAATATCTTCCAAGCCAAGCTTTAACATCAGTTACCATTAGGCCAGGAACTTGAAGTTATGAAGCAAACACTGGAACCATTAGATTCTACCCTTCCTAGATCAGTCCTGGTCCCTGAAGCTACTGTGGTCAATCTGGAAGACATGCCACCATTGCCACCTTCACCACCAATGCAATGGAGGATGGGAATACAACATGCTTCCCTTTTTTCCACAGAGAGAATTGGTTGGAGTTGGTCAGGATTCTTTGCTGCCAATACAGCCATCGGAATCAGTTGAGAAAGCTCAATTTGATATGCCAGCACCACAGGACCTGGTAGATTACCAGAGAGTTGCAAGAAAGATTTAGTTGACTAAGCCTACTGAACTTCCAAATCCAGTTGGTTATTTCACCATGAATCAGGTTTGCTGAAAGGTCCAAAGTGCTTAATTTTGATTGATTTCTCAAGAAATCAGGAAATGTTCTCAACTTTCCAGAAGACAATTTCAATGTCGTAAGTTGAGGGAAGGAAGAATAAGAGGAACTAGTATTAGAATAAGTAATCAACAAGCTATTGTATGACAAATCAAGACTCGAAATTCACAAACCCAGGACCGTTCTGTTTTCAAATTAATTGTACGGAAGCTATAAATTTGAGACTAAGACATGTCTAGACAATATATTCCAAACTCCAAGAGTATTGCTTCACAGTTAGTGCAGACACCAAATTTACAACCAACAGTGAAGAGAAAGAACGGAACTCAGTGAAGATGAATCAACTTTCACTAACAAGGAAATAAGCTTACAAGTTACAACACTCTCACCTAGAGCATGAACAGTACAGCCAAAAGGAAAGATGAAAAAACTAACTCAAAAGTATAAGCAACATCTAGTTATCAATGCAATTGAAAACTATGGTGTGGAAGGAAAACCGAAGCATAAAACCACTTCAAGGAATTAATATAAGTTGTTTGGTATGTGGGAAGTCATTCTGGAAAAACCACTTACAATTTTAACAGATTTCAGTACCAACAAGGCAACAATAAAAGATTAAACATATGAAAAAACATCCTATTTAATACAGTTGAAGTATGAGATAATACAGTTGAAAGTATTATCGACCATTATTATATAATACAGTTGAAGGATGAGAGCTAAGTTTTAAGATTTAGAAGCGTTGGCCATCGGAGAGAGTTCTTTGAGAAATATCCTCGGCTGTATGTGATCAGCATAGATCTGGTTCAGCTGATTTCATATCCTGCACTTATCAAACCATCGACATGTATATTAGTGTGTATATGTGTGTGTGTATATATATATATATATATATATTTATACGTATATAGATATAAGGAAACCAACATTAGAAGTATAAGAGAGTAGAAAGTTTGGATAGGTATTTACTGAAGATATTCGATGTTGATTTGTGTAGAAGATGAGTTTGAGATGGCTGCAAAAGCATTGGTTGACATGGCAATGGTAGAAGGGCACGGAGATTGACGGCAAAGGTCCACCACCTTCACCTCCACAGTAGCACCACCCTTGCAGGGCATATTACGTCCACTCAGGCACCTAATTTTATAGAGCCTTCCACACGCAGAACCACCGTCCCACAACCCTTCACTCACCGCCGCAAAAAGGTACATCGGAGGGAACTGGTCTGGCCTACTCCCAAAGCATGTTGTTGCTGCACAACAATTACAATAATGGCATAAGAAAAGCTAATTGTCATTGGCATGATCCAGTTAATTCTCAATGCCCCTGCAACTAACTAGACATGAATTACTCACTTAAAACCATTTAAACCCCGTAATTGTGATCAAGGCAATCACAACAATACAGTAATCATTGCGTTGAGATGAATAAGTTGTTTACTTACGCATATAAGGAGGACCGTAAGAAGTTGCTGTGCCGAGATCGCCAGAAACTAGCCTTGATTCTGTGCAAAAAAGGCCTAAAACGATCAACATGAATAAGAGTCCCATGTTCACGGAGCCCGCCCAGGATGTTGTCAAAGGAGCGGCCACAGTTTTAATGGGTCCTTTGATTTTGAGGGCTTTGGGAGCTATGAATGAAAAAAGAGGCGGGCACGTGGAATGCTGATTGCTAAGATGGTGGCGTATCACAAGAAGATTGACACGAGTCAAAATAATATATTTAATGGCTCGAACAATGAAATATTAATTATCAGTCGAATGAAATGAAGAGGAGGAGAAAGAAAAGAATTATAGAATATTATGAAAACTTTAAATATAAACTTATGATAAAAATAATATTATTACCCGCCGGAAAACTCATCGGTTTCTGGAATTTTTCGCCGGTTTCTGGGTGAATTTCAAATGATCCATATATGAAAATTCAACGATCCATATATGAAAATTCATCTATTCAACGAGAGGCATCCAAATATGATGGTTAGAGACCTTACCTCGGTCCATTTAAAAGCTTCTAGAACTCGGTTTTTCTTCGGCCTTTCACGAATCCGGTTCGTGGATACGAGAGGAATGTTTGATGGTGGTTTTGGTGTTAAATTTTTGCCATTAAAGTGATGGGGGTTTGTGGTTGTTCACGTGGTGGCATTCCCGCTATCTAAGATCTCATTTTTCAGCTTGAGGTGGCAGGTATGTGAACAGGTGTCCTTTAGTTCAAACTACAACACAAACGCAAGAGAGTGGCAGGTATGTGAACAGGTCTCCTTTGGAACTCGGTTTTTATTAAGAAAACTAATGAAAAATGTTTAAAATTTTTGAGTTTTAACGACAATGATAAAATAAAGGGTAAAGTAAATAGTATTAATATTGATTTTTTAATGTAAAAATATGATTTTTTCGTTAAAATGAACAATACCGGGAGCTTTTCGTTAAAATTCCTTTTTTATTATTGTGTTAACTTTTATTCTTTCCATCAAAGTTTAAGGGAACCGGATCCCCTCCCTCCTGAGATTAGTATACTGACCCCTGAGTAAAGGATCCGGATCGTTAAAATTTGATCCAACGGTTACAATATTATAACTTTTAGAGGAACCTCCTGTTTGTAGTCATTGGATCAAATTTCAACGATCCGGATCCCTTGCTCAGGACGCTCAATACACTAAGTTCAGGAGGAGATCCGGTTCCAAGTTTAAGCTTTTTTTATTAAAATTTAAGTTTTTTTTATTAAATAAAATAATTAGGTGTTTTTTCTGGTTAATAAAAAGTTATTTTGTTTTTTCATTAAAGTCCCAAATAAAGGAAATATCTTATACATCGGGGACCCTAATTTGAGATAATTATCTGAATAGGTGAAGACAATTCTATTGTTGATTAATTTAGAGTAATTTGTTTACCAGTTAATTAGTTTCCATCAAATCGTGTTGGTAGGTATAGTATAGATAACAATTATCTTCCTATTTATTTCTAGGACAAGGATTGTCTGCCCTCCACTTCCAGTGCCCTCTTGTTTTGTGTGGTCACAGTTAAGCCACGTCAACATTTTATATATTTTTTTTATAGATATAATAAGACAAAAATAAATAGTAATATAAAATGTTGACGAGGTTTAACCGTGACCACACAAACAGGAGGGTACTGGAAGGCACCAGAAGTGGAGGGCAGACATTCCTTGTCCTTATTTCTGTCCCAAAACAAGTTGCAAGTTGATATGTGTGCCCACTCTTGAAAAGGGAGAAGTGCCTCTTGGTTGTAGTTGCTTTTGACAATTTGAAATTGTAGTCAAGTTGATATGTACCTCTTGGTTTTTTAATTTCTATGAAAAGTGAAAATAATTATTATTAATTGTTATTATCATTCAAAAAATCTTATGTTGCATTTGAAATTTTAAAATATTAATAATAATAAAAGTAAAAAATATGTAGAATAAAATTTTAAAGTGTTAATAATAATGACGGAGAACCATAACAAAGTAATTTAATATATTCGACAACGGAATATTCTCCGTGTATCTTGACGGCTATATTTAATAGCTTTGACAAGTTACCGGTCAAATGAAATGAGGAGGAGGAGAAATAAAAGAATTATAGAATATTATATGAATTAGAATATTAGGGTATCCAAATGCGCATAACTCACTCATTTCTCAATTAAATTCAACGATCCATATATGAAAAATCATCTATTCAACAAGAGCAATCCAAATATGATGGTTAGAGATCTTACCTTTGGCCGTAATCGGAGATAAAATTGCCCGGAAGAGTCGGTCCATTTAAAAGCTTCCAGAACTCGATTTTTCTTCGGCTTTTCACGAATCTCAATGATGAACTTTTCCTTATTCTGACCCACCATCTTACCCAACCTTGCGTGTGAGTTGCCAATAAATATTAGGAAAAAATCCACCAACAAAATCTTATACTCTGGTTAAAATGCTTTACATAATTCAACGGCAAGACTTCAAAGTTCAAAGGATTTCTCGTTACTCATGCTAGTATTCTCGCTTCTGATATTTCTATTTCGTTAGTTCCCTAGTTCGCTACACTTGAACTGATATTGAATTATTAACATATATTTATTATGTACTAATTATAATTACTAAGAGATGGGATCAATCATTTTAATGAGATACGCACCATTCTTGTTCTTCTCACTATCCTAAAAGTTGGAAACAAATTGAAACACTTCCAATTTTTTCTGTTGAAAATTAGTGAAGGATGGAAAATTATTTTAGGATTTGCAGCCATCTTGAACAGTGGAAAGGTACGGCGCTTATGGGTCGGTTTGGGAAAAAATTACAAAAATCATAATTACCCTAGAATCTGAAAAAGATTCTAATCCTGTTTAGAAAGCTAGACAGAAATTGAGAGAGAGAGAGAGAGAGAATGTGCAATATAATATTTACCAATCTCAACTGCTAATTTTTTTACTCCTGTTTAGAAAGCTAGACAGAAATTGAGAGAGAGAGAGAGAGAGACAGACAGACAGAGAGAATGTGCAATATAATATTTACCAATCTCAACTGCTAATTTTTTACTCGTTGACTATTCCACTGAGGATACTGAGGTGAAAATTTGTTGTTCATAGAGTACAATACACCCACGCATGTTAGAAAATATTTCTTAAATCATCCATATCATTGTCACGCATTTTTCAAAATCAAGCATTTACAATTACAAAGCACAAAATTGTCAATTCATTTAACCTTTCATGTGTCATGGTCGACTCATCAACTTCAATCGTATTACTTCTTTTTTAGTTTCTTATGTTATGAAAGAACTAAAACTAGGTTAGGAACCTATAAATATTTGAAGCGAGATTGAGAAGTGTTGAAATCAACATCAGTCCAATTGGTGTTTGAATTCTACTAGCAGCAAGTCTAGAAGACAGAGCTTCTGGAAGACTTGCATTTTGTCCAGGTGCAATGAACTAGATTTTTCTAGTTTAAGTATGCAAGAAGTGGCGGTGCATACAGAAATATATAAAGCTAAAGTAGTTTCTAGAAAGACTATAAATAGGAAAATATGAGACCAATTTGCAAAGCCATATATCGGTGGCAATGCATGATTAGTAGCTAGAAAGTTCTAGCAAAATTGAAACCGAAACACGAACCAAATCGAATCTCACCGAACAACTTGGTTTTGTGGTTTTGAAACGGTTTTGGTTCGAAACCGAACCGCAATGTAGAAAAACGGTTTGGTTTCGGTTTTGACTTTTGAAAACCGCACCGAAACCAAACCACACCACAAATATTAATTAGTTGTTTGTTACACTTTGTACATTTAATTAGTTGTTTCCTGCTCACTGCTACTCTCGGTCTCATTTGGCATTGGGGACAAAACATTTTACATAATATTGGGGACAAAGCATTATCATAATATTAGTTCATGTGTGTGCATGTAAATCAAATTTAGATATGTATGTTTTTTGTCCTCAATTACTTTGTTTGGGCGATTATTACTTTTCTTAGGCGTCGATGGTGGATCTTGGGCAAGGTATTGAAGGCTTCAATATTGGTTTTTGGGTGATGAATGTGAAATGGTAATAGATATTGACAAGGGTACCTTAATTTGTAAAAAAAAAATGGTTTATTCTGGTTGAAAATAGAATTTATTTTCATTTTGTATGTAAATGGTTTGAAACTGAACCAAAACTGTTTGAAACTGCACATAACCGAACCAAACAGTTTTGTTTTATTTCGGTTTTGACTTCAAAACGGCACCAAACCGAACCGCAAAAAATTGCAGTTTCAATTTTGGTTTCACTTAAAACCGTACCAAACCGAACATTGCCCATCCCTAATTGTAATATTTTATAAGTGTAATACAAGTAATTTGTTTACTTGTCTTATCTTTCCAACACTTAAGTTAGAATTATGTACTTTAATTTTTTTCCTCAACAAGAAGGACAGAAAGGAAATAAAAAAGACGGAATATTGTTGTTTGCACGATAGGTTTGGGAAGATATAATTTTATTTTTTTTTCGTTTTGTCAATATATATAGCTTGTTTGAGCTCCTATGCCACCGTTGTCTTCTTGGAAGAAACAATATTTTTTATGTACACTATTGTTATATATATTAACACTTCAAAAATTTGATTGCACATTCCTCATAAGAATAATTTTATTTTTAAATATAGAAATTTTGAAATGCACAATTTAAAATGTCAATAATAGTTCTCTTTTAAATATGTATACTAATATATATATATATATATATATATATATATATATATATATATATATATATAAAATTTAAGGCCTTGAGCGGTCGACCTTCCCACCCTTGCTCAGGAAGGGCCCTAACTATAAAGCTAGGTTCTAACAACACTTAAGTATCTAGGACAAATTGATTTTGTTTTATAAGAGAGACTGGGCGTCAAAGAAAACTTGCTATTTTTCAATGAGCAATGCTTGGCTATTCAAGGATTAGTATAAATTTTTATTCAAAATTCTTTGTGTTGGAATTACAGAGTTTTGTACTTATGATCAAAATTGTTCATATTATGAATCATTTTGTAAATATCATCTCTACAAAAAATGAATTAAAACTGAGATCATTTAGTTCATCTATTGTAGTAAATCCATAGACGGTTCGTAATGCTCTTATCAATTTCGTTCATTTATTTTTATACAATTTGATAACTAAACGACCTTAGTTTAATTGATTTTTTGCAAAGTGTGATCTTTATAGAGTAATTTATAATATGAATGATTCGATCATATACACGGAGTTCTATGAATTGACAGCGAACAGTTTTGAGTAGAAACTCCCACTCATCCTTTGAGTAGCCAAATATTGTTCTTCTTCAATTATGTGTAAGTTCAGTAGATAAATTGAATAGAATGTTTTGTATCAGGGTATTCTTAGGAGACCAAAATTTTTAACTAAATTTTGTAAACCAAATGATATAGATGCTAACAATTAGATTATTACTGAAATATTGATTAACGTGTTTATTTTTTATTTGTGACATATCATTTATCTTATAAATTTAGTTAAAATTTCAATCTTTCTAGCATTATCTTTTGTATTAATAATGGAGAAATAATAGAGTAAGCCGTGCGCAATGCTTCCTTCTGTTACATTCACGCGGGCCATGTAGTGCGATTTTAACCATGTAGTGCGATTTTAACCACCCCCCCCCCCAAAAAAAAAAAAACAAAAAGCACACCTTTTTCTTTCTTTTTTAGTATTTTACATAATAATAGTCCAATGCCAAATTATATAGTC